AAAGTCAGGCAATAAAATAGGCAGCTAAGTAATAGTGTGATATTATAATCTAATTATCACAAGAAGGAAGGAAAAACAATCACAGATTGGAGAAAATGTTCTAAATACAGATTCAAACTAACCACGATTTCACTTTTTATACAATGGTGTAGTTAACAAACTGAAACTTCACAGTCTTCTCTGAATACAAACGGTTTTGTATTTCCCTGTCTGTTGACAAATATAATTCAGTAGATGGTTTATAAAAAAACTTTACATTGACCTATTTTTCTTCATTTGTCAGATATATGAGTGGACAGACATCTTTCTGGGTGGACAGATATACTCTATTAAAACACATTCATAATTGATGCATACAGTTTAAAATGTCAAAAAATCACACATTAAACTTTGAGTTAAAACTTTCGCATTCAAAACTGATATTCTGTCTTTTGGATGTAAACTAAACTGGAATAAAACTGTTAGGACTTCAGTGACCAGTTGTTTGCAGGATTTGTTGAGTCTCTAACCTGTGACTAATGCACTAGAACAAAGTTCATTGTTTTTATTTATACCTCTATTGTAGAAGAAATGGGAAATACTCTTTGCACAGGTTATTCACAGCAATAATACTGAAGGTGTCCATAAAGGCATTAAATCACTTACACAAATTGTGGGAGACTTTGTCTACTGAAATATATGACAAAAGCCATAAGGTCGATCAACCTTAAACAGATACTGTAGTCATGTCCTATTATAGAATCTGCATTACCATTAAGAAAGTCACATTTCAAAAAGTTGGTTTAAAGGATATTTTAACCAACAGGATCAACAACTCTTTCTCTGTCTTCAAACTGAAACCAATCAATTTGCATAAACCTTCAAATGGAATAACTCTCTAAGTGTTTAACCTTCATAAACTGTTTATCAACTTTTTGACTTAGGTTGTAGACTCTCCATCAATTTTGCACTTAAACTAACTTATTTAGTGTTTTTGAATGTTGAGTTTTCACCGCCAATGTTTTGTTGCCAAACTTTATTGCTTGATTACTACATAATAAAGTATTTATGATTTGTGTTAGTAGGATTGTTTAGCTTAGTATTAAGATGTTAACAGTTAAACAATATGAACTTTAAGGAATAAAACCCAAAAGTCATTTTAATTCAGAATTAGAGATCTTTTATCCTGTTATACAATCTCTTTCATCTTTTTATGTATAATAAATAAAGAAAACGTTTGGTCAGGACAGACAATGAGTCTTTTTTCCCCTATTTTATATACTCTTTTATTTATAGATATTTATACCTATATAGAATATCTACAGTCTTATTTGTGTATACGCAAAGATAATAAAAACGAAAAACTACAAAGTTTAATCTAATAATTGATTATATTTTCCCTTCGATAACATAACTTTATTCTTTCAGTGTCTAAACAGGTGGTTAATTAGTTTATTCGTGTACTTAGTTATAACAGAAGGTTGAATACAATTAGCCGTTTTATTATGATATTACGGTTAACTGATAACACCTGATGTCTATATTGAAGACAATTTTTTTTTCTGTTGATTGCTTTTATGCTCGCTTTGTTTAGTTTAGGTTTTTTGTGAAAAGATGTTATCTTGCCATTTTGCTTCAGAATTGAGTTTGCTTATCAATATTATATAAATATGAGCTAATATTAAGATGTAAATATAAATTAGTGAAATTGAACAAATGCGCTTTTATCTCTCTGAGTTTTGTATACTTATGCATCATTTTACCTTTGATTAAAGGAAATAATAAAGTTAACTATTAACTTCTCTGTGGAATTACCACTTTCGATATTATTAAGCTTAGTTTATACAATATTTCATTGATTCCGTAGATAAGATAATGCTGCTTTTTTTAAGAGAAATATTTTCTTGTCAAGCAATAGATTTGTTCATAATATCCATTAGACAATTGTCAGAAAGGGGAGACAGATTACAAAGAATAATAAGCTGAATCAATTGCTGAGTGTCAGGTTTAAAGTTGGGATAAATATAAGAAGTTCTGTATAATTTTCTAGGCTTTAATGTTTTTATAATCCAAAGGGAAATAAATATAGAAAAGCTGGTAAACCACACAAAATAGTGTTATGAAATTCACTGCCGTCGAATCAACTTCACACATTTAAACTTGACCGAAATCATGATAATTTTTTACTTGGTTGTGACTAGCAGAGGAATCCAAGATGCACGTTTCGTCCTATTTGAAACTTATCAGCTGTATATACCGGCACCTTAGTGGGTGATGTTGTTCCCACTAAGATTCGAGCCTCCTCCCCACCGCCTCAAACACCGAAGCGTTATGCACTAGGCCACTAAAGCACGACAACTGTAATTAGTTTAAAATATTTTTTTGTCATCTAGTAGACGACTGCTCATTAAAATTTTATTTTTTAGAAAACTAAGGAAAAAGCTAAACTTAAAGCTTAACTTTTTGGCAACATTCACTCCCCAGACTCATTATATAACAGTTGTTTACTAAGAAGGTGAAATATTAATGAATGCAATTTTTAAGACTTATTTCTTTGCTTCAGTTTATCCAGATATTATATAAACGTTTGCGTCATGTGAAAAACATTTCCATTATGTTATTAAAACAAAACTAGAGATGAAAAAAATCTCATAAATGTTGAGCATTCAATTGCAGCAATAAAAATATCACAAATCTTGAATGGAGTGAAAAGAGTCCATAAAGTCAAGGCAGTATAAAGAGAAAAACATTAAGCAATGACTGGAAATTACAAACAATAGCATAAAATTTATTCCCTTCGTACAAGGTGTGGTCATCGTGACTCACTTGCCTAGTGGGTAAATCTATTGCACTTCAACCGATCGGTCCTCGGTTCGAGTCTTAGTGGGAACAAAAACGCGAGACGACTGAATCGAAGAAAGTATTGCTTACTTATTTTTCAAAGTCAGTGATATAATAACAAGTCGTACAATGAGTGAAATGAAATCCATAGGGTTAACCTGTTATTAACTGTGAGTAGCAACGAATCGAAGTAATGATGTCATCAACCGATTGCATTTCCCAATATAATTGCTACTCTTTCTCGAACACTTGCTAGATAGTGATCAACCGTTACCATAAACATTTCCCTTATATTGTTTTGCAAAACTAATCAAAAGCTTTATATCATTAGGGTTGATTTCGGTCGGAACAAAATCCTGTAAATAAGTCTTTGTCTTATATAGAGAAATTCTAACTGTCGATGCTTTACATAGACGAACTACTTTTAACAGATTAAGTAGATGAGATGGAATGTAGCTGACTGCACCTTGACATCTTTTGGTTCATAAGTACACAACGAAAACTAGAAAAGCACTAACCACAAAGTCTTATTGATTGTCGATTGTTTTTTTTCACTTCTTCCATTATTATCATTTCCAACAAACAATGTATTGTGAATGGAATCAATGTCTGTTTGGTTACTATTTATTTTACCGGATTTAAGAAACCTACTGGCTGTCCAGTCAGGACTTTTTCATTCAAATCCAAATCTACTGGAATTGCAGAGGGAAAGTATTATATTGATTATCATTTTGACTATCTGACATAGCCATGGTTTAGCAGACTAGTGTTGATACTGGCTGATGATTGAAGGTGAAATGAAAATGTGGGCAAGATTCGAACCAGGCTTCAATCTTCATCCAGCATGAATACTAGTCTGCTAAATCATGGCTATGTCAGATAGTCAAAATGATATTCTGGTTTTAACGTGCAGGCTGAAATGGCATATATGTCTTCCTATTTCGTTTATTTCACGTGTAGTTTTTTTTTAATGAAATGTACATATTCTTCATACATTGACTATCATAAAGCTTATGACCTCTACTATCTCGTAAATCTCTTTTCTGAAGTACAATACATAGACATAGAGACTTCCTTTCGTACGTTGTACATATCAGTTCACAGTGGTTGACTAATAATCATGTTGAAAATCAATCATTATCCAACCTATATATATAAATAGTTCTTGCTTATTTTCCTAAAGGAGGTGAAACCAGACTTCCGTGCAAAATGATGGAATTATTTATTTTAAACATGCTGAGATTTGTACAGATATAACTTATATCTAATGTTAACTTTTCACTTAGTCCCGGTCTTGACAAATAGATAGATACAACGGATGTAGGACGTCACGCAGGAGTACATCAATTCAAGTTGCTATACTTCACAGCAGCATGCAAAGAACAAGTAAACAGAAAAAGACTGATATCAGAGTAGGCAATGATAGTGTATAGGAGGAGAACTAATTCAAGTCTTGACCTCAATTCATTTATACATGATACGGTTGCTAACCATATCAGATTAATTTTCTGAGTAACTTTCCCAATGTCTATCTATTCCTCTTGATTAATCAGTGTATCTTGAGAAAGACAATTGCTTTTTATACAAATGACATAATTCTGTGAAAATTGTTAGTTGTTTGCTTCATGATTATTTAAAATCAATCTCTCATTTTGATTCATCTAATTGGTTGTGTGCACAATTTTTCGGTACATCTACATTTCTGTCCTATATCTGTTACACTATCCTACTGTATATGTAATCATTTATATCATGTGTGGTATTGTCCAAAATTTTCACAATACTGTTAAAATTGATACCTGAATGAAGTGATTATCATTTAGTGTATGCAGATTATCTCTGAATACATATGGTTATTTAGTAATGCTAACGGTAATAACTCAATTACATTTTAAAATAAACCTTTCTGATGATATTTTATTTTATTCTACACTTTCCGAAGAGTATTTAATAACTATTCATTTTGAAATGTGGTACCATTTAGTATGAAATATTTGAACAAATTTATAACATTTAAAAAGGAAATATCTCAGCAGATTCTGTAATAGATTATCTTAGGATGTAGCGCAGTTATGTTCTTAATTTATAGCTCTACTATAGTTTGAATTATTTCCATTTTTGTTTGCTTTTCATACTAGTTCATTTAGTCTTATTTATTTACTTATTTAAATAATTATTAGTTATGGTTTAATGGATGCTGCAGCTATGGTTGACTTGGCTTTAAATTGGACTAATGTACCGCCACAACGTGTATGTGAAGCTCAAGCACCAATGACCGGTAGTCCAATTACAATCAGACAAATGTCTAAAGAAAACTTACCTTTAACTACTGATGGTTGTGAATCGGCTGCAGCACTTGCTGGCGATTTATCACATCGAGTTGTTCATTTAGAACATGTACAAGCTAAGGTAAGCCTGTTATCTGTTTTCCGACTTTTTGTTTTAGATGTTTAGAGTTTTGATGAAGTTTAAATCAATTGTCCTTAAATTAAACATTGAATGTTGAAGCAAAAAAGATTTTTCCATTTTATATCACCTTGATGTGTGTGTGTGTGTGTCGAAATTAAGTATATGAATTCTGACTTCTCATCATATCAACGGTTAATTTAAATCTATTTTGCAGGTTTGTTTGATTAAACATGAAGTAGTTTTCATACACCAGTTATACTTCTTTTAGTAGTATGGACTACCTAAATCAAGATTCATCGAAGTATTATGACTGAGATTGATATCTGAATTTCTCGATAGTCTCTAACAAACGAAAGTCAGACATCCGAAAATGATGTTTCTCCAAAGTCTACTACTCGCCTGCTTCAGGAGGTAGACATTTCTAAAGTCGATCGATATGTTTCAGCACATGGTTTACAACAGTTCTATTGCTGCGATAGCGTTTTGTTCACTTCGGAAAGATAAGGGTGGCACTCTAGTAACCACTGAAATTATCAATTGGGTTTCTTCATTCCGATCTAGAAGGTAGTTTTTTCTTAACGTACGGAAAGGAAAACCTAATTAGTGGTCTTTGGAAGTCACTCAGTAGACAGATGGAATCCGTTATGTCTGATGCGTATTTAGGTATGCCGTCAAGAGGTATTTTGTTATTTCTTTAGGGTCCTGTCGACTTCACAGTTGGATAACTCATAGTAACTCATCGGTGAATTATTCTTGATATCTGTGGTTTGTTGAGTACCTTACCAACTAATGTGATTTTTTTTTAAACGAGTACACTAATTCTTAACTCATTTGTGGCACAACTTAGAGGGTGGATTGACCAGTCATTTCACTGAAATTATATCAGACAAGTGTGCTAAATAAGACTCATGCTGTACTTATCGTAGAATTTTGCGAAGTTACACCAATAAGTTGATGTTTAATATCGTTTCTCTTAGTGAACAGTCCCTTTTTTTTAAGTCCTTACTGAGTTGTATAAGCCAGGCGAAAGCTTCAGTTTATCTCTCTTAAGGCATTTATACTTCATGGAGTTTGACTGTTAAAGCAAATACTGGTATATACAAAATATATAAGCGTGCATAATCTTAATCGTAACCAATTAATCTATCACTAAGGATTCGGATTTGCCATTTTGAACTGTTGACGAAAGTTTACTGTCATCGAGTTGACTGTATGAGTTTGCTATGATGCAATCTCAAAGATGCAATTGTAAAATTCGTATTTCAGGCAACTATCAAATATCCTAAAGATTTTGTCCACAAATTGTTAGGTTATATCAACATAGATTTAACATGAAAATCTCGTATCATCATAATATGCCAGTGAAAGAACTAGACACACATAGGCAGGTACATGGACAGGTTTCACTGATGAAGTCGAATTTACATAGGCATAAGATTATCTTCTTGGTCATTTAAGAACAACTTTATCAGTCAAAAAATGGTCTATGATGATCAGTTAACTATGACCATTCAACTTTTACTCATCAAGTAATACGAAGAATTAATACGAAAACTATGCTGTCCACTTTGGAATTTTGGGGTTGTTGCAGATTTCTCTAGACAGGCAACTTCCACCCATTTGGCTACGGATTTAAGCTCTCCCTCACCTACTTAGGTTTGGGTAGCAAGCTATTATCCTAGTCTCTCACGCAGTAGTTCTTTCTTCCTACCCTATTGTTTAAAACTGCACATTGTAGCTGACTTACTACTATTCAACGTTACCACTAAAAATCATGTGTTCTGATCTGCAAACTTGTGTTATCACTACTTAGTACTTAGATAAATTCTGCGGAGTTGTGGAACATATATGATATATTTTTATTTCAGTGATGGATGGTGACTAACAGTGTAATCCATGATGCGCGTTTCTTTCTATTTTGGGACTCGTCAGTTGGATTCACATGCCTTCCAGTGAGCGATTTTGTTCCCAGACCACCAGACCACTGGGTTACGATGGAGTGGCTATCGTGACAATAATCGCTGCATGACTGGATTATGTATGCACATTAGTCACTAGTTGGTAACCGATAGAGGTGTTTTGTCCTTAGCTTTCAGCACTGATTGAAGTTTTGCAATGGGGCCAATGAACGAAGTGATGCAACATCATGGTGCACCGTATTTTGATGTTAGGTGTTGAGAGTCAACCGGTAGGGAGTCCTTGACGTTGGTTTCGTCTTTGATAGCATTTACCATAGTCACAGATACGCCTTACTGATGACGCAACATAACATCTACCTTATTGTAGGAGAAATTAAGGACCTATGTAGACGTAGGTGGTATATGTATGTATGCGACTAATCTCCGATCACCATCTCCCTAGACTTTGGATATCGGCTGGAATAGCGATAAATTGAACGAAAGCTTAGGATGGTCACATTGAAAGATGTTACTAGTACAGGTCTCTAGTTTTTGGTCAGAAGCGTTTAGAGGGGAGCGTGAGTTGCCAGTCAGCGTCCTCGATATTTTAAGAATCGATGTTTAAGGACACTGTAACATGGTTTCAATTCGATAGCAGTTTAGCAGATGCATACAATTTCTGTAATATTCCCTGTTGTAAAATAAGTTATCAATCTTCACTTGAACATTAAACCCTTTCTGGCCACTTACTCTTTTTCTACTGTTGTAAGGTGTGATAGCTAGAATTGTTGCACTCCTATTCAAAGTTTTGTTTTTGTTTTGTCTATCTTTTTCCGCTTATTTCTCGTTATTTTTCATGTTTTTGCTCAAAATTTCTCTTTCTAAGTAGCTCAATTTGTAATTCTTATTGATGTGGCTTACGAAACCATTTTAAACACTTGTCTTCTAGTTATCATATCGTTAGTTGAGTAACCTAGTCATTTACATACTCTGATTCAATCAGGGTTAACGACAAAGAAAAATGTATAATACTCTAAATGCTTTAATAAGTATATCCTTTAGAATCGACTCAAAACAATTGTATTAACGTATAAAAAAAAATGAAAACAGACTGAAGTTTTTAACAAAATCCATTCAATGATTCAACTTATTACTTCTGATTTTTATTTCATTATTTGTTTGAAATATGAAGCGGTTTACACCATTTTGAAAATGTTTACTTTAACTTAATTCATGATAGACTACAAACATAGAAACTGGACAGTAGAATTATTATTACAAATATATTTTGGTCAAAATAAATATGAATATGTAAATACACTTTCATTTCATGCTGACATGTGTATTGTTTTTAGAGTTGGCATACTTTTTTTGTCAATGACATGGAAAAGTTTATTTAGCCCACCTATAGAAATATGAACCTTTGTTCATAATTCAATATTACGTTGTAAACAGTGAATTGACTTGGTTTTGGCTAGCAGTGGAATCTAGGACGCACATTTCGTCATGTTTCGGACTCATCAACTGAATGTACCTGCATCACACTAACTAGTGTGATTCCCAGTGAGACCTAAACCTCGTGCCCATCTCTTCAAACCTCAAAACGTTATTCACTAGGCCACTGAGGCACAATGGCCACCTGTTGTACAACGAACATTAATTGTTGTTTTCTGTTTATCTTGTAATTCTTCCTCATTATGCTTGACCAAACTATTCGACCTCTGTTGGTTTATGGGCTCGTATGTGGATGCCTCGAAATTATCTAAATATTTTTTGTTATTATATACTTGGTTGTGGCTAGGAGTGGAATTCAGTACGAGTCCCAAGTAGGAAGAAACGCTCATCCTAGATTCCCTTACTAGCCACAATCAAGCATGTTATAATAATAAATATTCATACAATATGAAGGTATCCGCATAGGAGCCCATATACCAACAGAGGTTGATCATTTCGATTCAGTATAACAATGGAGGATAACAAGTGTTGATAAATAATTGTAATCAGTGGTGTGTAGCTCAGTCAGTCTACTAGACATCATGTCCATTTCTTATTACCACCTGACCAACCATATAACTGACATAAACATAAGCCGATACACACTAGTTATGTCATTTTGCCTAAAGAAATGGCGCATATTTGACTGATTCGTTTTACTCTGTGTTTGATTTACACTCTCCTTTTAAAACTCCCTATATTAGAATAAAGTGTATGTGTTTTGTTTCTATATGAAACGTAGTAGGTAAACACACTGTATGTAACGGGGACAGTAGTGAATGTTTTACTACAAATTAGAAAATAGAATTGTATTTTTTTGCTGTAGTAAGTGAAAACCATAGAATTTCAACAAACTGACTTGACATACCCCATAGGTAATGCGTTTAACCTTTGAAAGCATAGTGTATTCCTTAAATTCAGGGGTTGAAAAATATAAAGCGACAACTATCCGTTGTTTCTGTCCATCGGTAACTATATAATATATATATATATATATATATATATATATATATATATATAACACTTTTGCCATTCAGCTATTTATCACTTTGACTATCTGAGATAATCTTGGTTTGTAAAACTTGTATTGTTACCTGATGATGGTTGGGCCGCGGCATTATTCGAAGTATCAGTCGAGAAAAACCTATGGAGATTGAATTAAAATAAAAAATGTGGTCAATAGTCGAATATCGTAGCTCAGTTGATAGAACACTGGGCCGGGAACCCCGGGGGTTCTGCTGCGGTCCAAATTTTCATTTCACCTTCATTTATCTATCATCCAGTATTTATTATTTGTTTATTCACGTTTACAATCTAAATTAGTTTGTACTTTCCTTTTTCTTTTGGCATTGTTACTCACATCACTCTTTGAGTCCTCAAAAGTTACTATGATTATTTTGCATAAATTTTGATTCATTTTTTAATGTAAACTGTAAAATATTCAAAAATGAATATGCTAATGAGGTAACGCATGTATTAGGTCGTTGGGTATTTTTCATAACAGACTGAATTCATAACCTGAGTTGAAACTGTTAGTTAAGTTTAATGAAAAAAAAAATTTATGCGGTTAATGAGCCTAACAACCTGCAGATTTAAATTACATAAGTT